CAGCCTGTCCAGAACGGCGCACCCTGTGGGCGTCTTGGAGATCATGATCTGAGAGCTCCGGTGTGCCTCGACGAGTTCGGACACCGTGTTGTCTATTCCAAGTTGCATGAGGCGGTCCGTAGACATGGAGTTTGAGGGCCAACTTGTACGCTTGCCTTATGATGGGATCGAGCTTTTTCTTGTCGGTTGTCGGGAGTCTCATTTAGTGTACCATGTAGAGGACGCAACTGACGACAAACGCGTGTACTATGCAACAAACGTCGCCGTCCTTGACCCCGCCCCGCTTGTTGGCGCTACGTCTAATGAGACGTGCCGTGCTCTTGGCTGTCTTGCCAATTCGAAAAATGGCGTCTGCTGTGGTGTCCAAGAACCAGATGGCGCCACATCCCCGCTGTCCGGCATGAGTTAGAAGAGCCCCAAAAGCGAGGGGGTGACGGACGGGGAGAATGCATGGCGGTGCGTCGGAGATCAGACGCGCGAGGCTTAGGGTACTACGCAAAATAAAGTTTTAAGTTCTGGTTCGTTACCTATTGTGGTAGTACTACCACAATAGGGAAACCCTTGGGTTTCCCTAGTGTGGTAGTACCGAAGCAGAACAACCCCCAAGCGGTGAGGATGTGCGTGGACATGAGAGAGCCCAACGTTGCGATAGAAAGAGAGAGGCTTGTCATGCCTACGGTCGAAGATGTCATTGGTATACTGAATGGAGCCAAGTACTTCACAAAACTTGACCTGAATAAGGGCTACCATCAGTTGGAGCTCGATGAACCATCAAGGCAGATAACCACGTTCTCAACACACAAAGGACTCAGAAGATACAAGAGACTTTCCTTCGGAGTAAACTCTGCTGCAGAAATCTTTCAAGACGTCATCCGACAAGTTCTTCCTGATGAAGAGGGCATAATCAACATCAGTGAGGACATTTTGGTGTCTGGGCGAACAGTAGAAGAACACGACAACAGACTTCGCCTGGTTCTAAAGGCCCTCCAGGATGCGGGACTGACCCTCAATGGAAAGAAGTGTGTGATCGGTGCAGGCACTCTCAAGTTCTTTGGACACATGTTTTCAGCATCGGGCATCACTGTGGACCCAGCCAAGGTAGAAGCAGTCACTCGGATGGCCCCGCCGAGCAATCCATCTGAGGTCCGAAGCGTATTGGGTATGGTAAACTACAGCAGCAGGTTCATTCCAAGATTTCCTGCTGGTCCTTGGCAGGCGTTGGCAGCAGATTTTGCAGGTCCCTTTCAAGGAGGAAAGTATCTCCTGGTCGTAGTGGATGGGTACTCACGGTTTCCTCTGGTGACGACGCTGCCATCTCTGAACACTGAAGAAGTAACGTCAAAAATGCAAGAAATGTTTTCCGTCCACGGCCTGTTGCTGAGCATCAAGCCTGACAATGGACCACCGTTCTTCAGTCAAGACTTTGCCGATTTCATGGCTGAAAACGGAATAAAACACCATAGGGTGACACTGCTGTGGCCACAGGCTAACGGGGAAGCGGAAAGGTTCATCAAAAACATCAAGAAGACTGTCAAGGCAGCGACAGTAGAGGGGAAAAAGTGGGAACCTGAACTGCAAGAGTACCTGTTGAACTACAGGGCGATGCCACAGGGGACGACAGGTCTCTCTCCAGCAGAACTACTCTACGGGCGGAAAATGAAAACGAAGCTCCCTGAAGTCACCGCCACAACGAATGATGGCCAAGTGAGAGAAAGAGATCAGCTCAAGAAGGCACAGATGAAGCTGTATGCCGACAGGAAACGCCACGCTGTGCCTCATAACCTTCAAAAGGGAGATCTCGTGCTACTGAAACGGCCCGTGACTCTAACACATGAGTCCCAATATGACCCAGACCCTTATGCGATTACTCGTGTGCAAGGGACAGCTATAACTGCACAAAGAGGTGGCAAGAGAACGATTCGAAACTCGTCATTCTTCAAGAAGATCGAGAAGACTTTTAAAGTTGCAACTGACGATGACTTTGACAATCTAATTAGAGACCACATGCCCACAGATCAAGACGATCGACACGCTGACACGAACGTTCCTGACGACTCCATTGTTCCGCTTGAAGCAACCTCTCAAGCTCCAGAGAGACGGCTGCCGGTCCGATCAACAAGGAACACGAGACCACTGCAGTTAAAGGATTACGCAGTGGACTTTCGCTGAGAAGGTTTTTTTTTTAAAAAGCAAGAGAGGAAATGTGGTGTCCAAGAACCAGATGGCGCCACATCCCCGCTGTCCGGCATGAGTTAGAAGAGCCCCAAAGGCGAGGGGGTGACTGACAAGGAGAATGCATGGCGGTATGTCGGAGATCAGATGCGAGAGGCTTACTACGCAAAATAAAGTTTTAAGTTTTGGTTTGTTACCTGGTTGTCTCCCTCGGCAACACACAAACGACACTACATCTGCGTTTGACAGATATTTTCTGAGGTGCTTGCCGAGAACTCTGACCGAGTCGCTTTCAGAGATGCGATTGCCGTTGACCAGAACTTAAACTTTGTCCTAGAAAATGCGCTCGTGGTAGCCCCTCTTCACAAGGAGTTCCGACTTGGCATGGGAGCACTTGAGGCCGACGGCTCTGGCATAGTCTACTACGACATCAGCGGCTGTCTGGAGCGCGCTTTGCACTTGTAGTACGTGGCCCTCAGTCCAAAGAGTAACGTCATCTGCGTAAAGTGAATGATGTAGGCCGAGGATAACGGTCAGCTTTTCTGGCAGGTCCATCATTCAGGGGTGGAACGGCTGCGCCATTTGCGCCATTTTGCGCCAGACGCATTTGTCTGCGCCATCCTGCGCCATGTTTCGGAAACTGCGCCACAGTCAATACCTCGCGCCATTATGCACCAAATTGGAAAACGTGCGCCAAAAAAATTGTATTTTGTCTTGGTTTCGGTTTCTATCGACTCGATTGGCAACAATGATCGCGTTTAGCTTGGTCGGCCTTGCAATCCTTTTTTTCTCTTTATTCTCCCTGTGTATCCCGAGTAGGAAGTGTGCGAAAAAAACTCAGGGTTCGGATTCCAAGCGCTACACCATCTGCCTCTGGATTGTTATTCTTCAACCATAAGCGGTTAAACAAGTCGGTCGAGGTAAGGTCGAGTCGTTAAGCGTCAGATTGCCTGAGGCTCCGAAGCCCGGGATCCGGACGTCAGTCAGTTGAAAACAAAGGAGCAAAAGATTCCTTTGAGCACTTCATCATTAGAAGTTGGAACCGCATTCCTGCAAGATAAATCGTGATTTGATAGATCTGAAACGCAGTCCGATCCGAAACCTTGCCGGCCAGCAGCTCTCAGGCGAGCGGTAGATCTGCTCGGCATACGTTAACTTTGCTCCTGCTTATCGCTTCGAATACGATAACTCCGTTAATCGTAGTCTGCTGCTTCGATATTGAGTTGCACAATAGGATAAACTCGAATTTTGTTGCGATATTGAGTTGCGCAATATGAGAAACTCGAAATTTGTTTCCCTGTTCTTCCGCGCAACTGCACGTTCGTTGCTTACGCACGTCACGTGGTTCGCACATAAAATCACTCTGTCGAGGACGTGTGGACTGTGCGATAAGCGGTGCTGGTTTGCATTTTGAGCAGCTGAAAGCCACTCAGAAAATATCAAGGCTCACAAAGTTCCAAGTTTTCGCATCTGTTACACTGTTATCCCATCTGCCTAGGTCCCTAACCACTCATGTTTATCTGGGCTGCTAAGCACAACTGAAATTGCTCCCGTGCTTGTCTAAGACACAAGCTGGAGTGCAATGAAAACTGATCTGAGCTGCTCCTAGCCTGCTCCAGAGTGTAGTTTTAGCTGCTCCCAACCTGCTCCAAAACAGCTGTTTTAGCTGCTCCCGTGGCTGCTCCCAAGCACATTTCATGAGTTCCACCCCTGATCATTGCGAAGTTAAACAAGAGGGGCGAGAGTACTGCCCCTTGGGGATTACCTCGTCCCACGCAGGCTCGAAAGGTTGGCGAGACGTCCTCTCCTAGGCGAATCTCTGCGGTGCGTCCCGTGAGAAAGGACTTCACGTACGCAAAGGTGCGGAGCCTGGGGTGCAGGCGAGAAATTTGATTGAGAATGGCTTCGTGCTTCACGTTGTCAAACGCTTTCTGGAGGTCGAGGGCCAACAAAGCTTGCATTCCTCTCTTCTTCTCGACGATGTACTGTGAGAGTTGCAGGAACACGTCCTGGGTAGAGAGGTGCTCTCGGAAACTGAACGAGGTGTGCGGTAGAAGGTCACAGTCTTCCACGTAGGCTTGAAGTCTGTTGAGAATGACGTGCTCGAGCAACTTGCCCAGGCGAGACGTAAGAGAAATCCGCCTGAGATTGGGGACCAAAAGCTCTTTTCCGGGCTTCGGAATGAAAGCGACGACGGCGTGCTTTTACGTAGGGGGCACCGATTCTGTTCGCCACACCTCGTTGAAGAGGGCCGTTAGGACCGTCAACGAACGGTCGTCCAAGTTCTGGAGCATTTTGTTCGTAGTCCTGTCGAAGCCCGGCGCCGATTTTGCGCGCAGTTGTTCCATCGCGCTCCGAACCTCGGCCTCGATTATGTCTTCGTCGAGCTCGGGGTTTGGTGACCCGGTGTACGAGAGGAAGGCCTCTTCGTGCTCTGTGGAAACAGGAAAGTAGGTGTTACGGAGTTCCTCCGTGAGGTCCGCCGTACTGCCCCTGTGTGTGTGAAGGACCTTGGAGAGGAGTTGAGCAGAAAGCGAAATGGTGCAGCCACCATGGTGCCAGTTCCCCCCCCCTACCCACCCCCACTTTGGCTTTTCAATATTGCTTGTGAAACAGGTTATACTTTGAAAAAGTTTTGCAAGGTCATCCTAAGCGTAACCGAGCAACAGATTGTACCCAAGCTTGAGAACCACCTTAGAGATAACGGAACAGAATATTTTGGACCCGGGGGACTCTTGGGGGCATCTTGTTGAATCCTCAGTTCCCGGGATCGTTTTACGAAAGTCCCCACTCTAACCGACCAAATGCCTCCCATCTCTTTCATGGAGGACGAGGGTTCCAGCGAAGAAGTTAACAACGCAGCCTCAAGCGATACCAACAGGCACTCGAGCAAGGTGGAAGCCCTACGCAAAGGATACGAAGAGCAGATCGCCTCTATGAAAGCAAACATGGAGGCAGCGCAACATGTGAGTCGTACCAGTGGCATAGCCAGGGGGGAAGCTTATGAGGCATCAGCCCCCCCCCCCCCCACCCCCCCCCCCCCCAAAAAAAAAAAAATTCATGAATACGCCATTGAGTGGTTGAACGTAGACCCATTTGACAAAAATGTGTCTGGTTGGGTAAAGCTGTATAATTAAAAGAAATGAACTCCAACAAAAGCCCTCAAAAAGTACAGTCCGTCGTTTCGAAACACATTCCGATTGGTAGATTGATAAAGCTTAGTGGAACATATCTTCATTGATTGACGTTTTAGCAGATGTGCTAGTTTTTTCGCCGGAATTTCACATGAACGATATTGACCGGCTGCATGAACCAGGAGCATAAAGGGAGAGTGGGAGAAACACTTTATCTCAACTGAAGTGTTTTGCTATAATTTATTTTTCAGTCATTTGTGTTTTTTTTCTTAATCACCATAGTAAAGGGGACCTACTCTGACTTGAGCCTTATTTCTACAAAGAAAGATCCGTGTCCATTTCATACTTTTCTGATAATTTCTGCGTAATATTAAAGAAAGCTAAGTAATGTGCTCCTGTTTGAAAAATGAGCCCTCAATCATGATCAAAGATTGATGAATTTTGCGACGCAATCATCATTTAATCTTCAAGTGATGTGCAAATTTCTGTTGGTATCTGCTCCAAAAGGGGCAATGGCTGCTCCAGTCCGACATTTTGCCTGCTGCAAAACCTGTTACGAGAAGTCAAATGCAGCATCCATTACTGCTTGCCGCATTTCAGAAGCTGAACGAGAAGGATCAAGAATTGTCCAGGCTACGAAGCCGTTGTGGTGTGCTGACATGGCTGCTGGAGCAGAACAGAGGTGATGTCTCGTTGCAAACTTTGCGGTGTCCAATTCTTGCGAGGACTAGAAGCGACCGGAGCAATACATTTTTCTATAGTAGTTGTGCGCTCGAAAAGTGTGGGCAGAGGGAACTTGGGAAGACTCGCACAGAAAGCAGACTTGTTCGCAGCCTGAGACACCCACAAATGTGGCAGACAGGTTTAATTTTTTATGACACATGACACAACGTAGATGGGGCAGCAAGAAACGAGTCATTACACCAAATTTAAAATTTTGACTTCATTGCACACAAGAAAAGTTTGAGAAGGTGGAACAAACTGCCTAAGAATGCAGGCAATACCTGTTTCTTCTTTGTATATTAAAATCTTTGCATTTGTTCAAGCTTCTAATCTGCTTGTTGCCATCTCTTCATCTCTGCTCTTAGAACACATTTCTTATTTTTATCATGTTGTTTGTCAAGCCACGAGGCCAATTTACCACCTAGATTTGTGTTTACTATAGTATTTACTTTCCTGGTTTATGTTACAAATGTCTCCCTCAAACAGGCAGATATGGTATCTCTTAACTTCCCTCGTTCTCTTCTTAATAAACAGGCATTAAACTTAGCTTTTCATAATACGTATTTGTTAATACTCTGGCGTTTTCTTCCTGATCCCCCATTTGTCTGAAAATTTCCTAAACACACATCGCTGATAAGCATCCCAAAAAAGAACGCAAAATAAGAGTGCAGCTCTTGAGGAAGAGGGGGGGAGACTATGCCCTCCTCTTCTTCCTCCCGTCCTGCCCCTCTGCTTCCTGTCCTTTCCTCCTCCTCTCTTCCTCCTCTCTTCCTCCTCCTCCTCCGCATGTGACATCAATATTCCCGCTAAATCTTGCAGAGGAACTGAATTTGTTCATAGGTGACGTGACACAAAGTCCTCTGACGTCATTTTCCCAGTGGGTAAGCTGAATTCATTGTGAGGTCACGTGACGTCAGTTTTCCGGCTAAATTTAGCGCAGTTACGCCAACGCCACGAAACCTGGGAACGGGTGCCTAAGAACTCCGCTTTAATATTAAGGCAAAAGAATTTTTGTTTTGCAAAGTTATTGAATTTACGATTTTGGTTCTTATTATGTTTTTCAAACTGAAACTCTCTACTGGCAACAACGAAAAAGTGATGCCAGCGGCAGGCAGGGGTTCACTAATTTGTACCGTAGACTTTGTTCCCGACTGATTAGTACAAGCACTTTCATGGTGTCAAATGGATGCCTTGGAAGCTCGCTCCGGCACCCACGCAGCAGCACAAAACGAATGCTCGGCATAATCCTTTTTTCTTACCTGCTCGACTGGTGAGCCTGACTGTCGCTGACGTCACGGCACTGGAAAGCGTAGGTATATTTGAATGTTGGTTTGGGCATAATTTTTATGTGCTGATTTCCCAATAACTACCTATTCAGAATTTTGTGATACTAAATAGCACACTTGAAAGGGTAAAGGCTGAAGATTCAGAAAATATAGTTGGGGCAGCTCAAAAAAGAATTGCCAAAATTTTTAAGGTAAAAAATTTTTTTGAAGTTTTTTTTTTTTTCTTTTTTTTGTTTTGTGCATGGCTATGTTTTAGGAAAATGTTTCACTAAAAATGTTTCACTAAAGTACAGAGAAGGGGAGACACAGTTTTACGCTAGATCATAAAGACAGATGTTTTATAAATGAATTTCGGAAAAAAAAAATATAATGCCAGGCTTGACTCGTAAATATTTCTGAGGTTTTGCTGTCCCTGAGCACGAACTCATTTCCAAGAAATTGTTGTCAATTCGCCAAAGCAACGTCGCAATTTCCGCGTCTGTCTAAGCTTTGCGACACTTCGAAGCATCGATGATTCGGAACGGGATCAAAGAAACATGTTTCCCGACAAAGCCGTCAAATTATTTCGCCAGAGAGCAAACTCAAATGAACCTAAACATGTTTGGTGTTGCGTTCGATAGATGGCGGTACCGACGTAACCGGTCGAAGTATTGGCATGCGTTCCACGGCACGCTCCCTCCTCCGTCGAAAGGAAGTGTCGCGCTCCTTTAGATGCACTCCCCATTTCAAGGTCAAAATAGAGGTGTGTCTAAAGACACATTCCCCAGTTAAGGGGTTAATGTAAAAAAATAGCCTCCTTGCATTTGCAAGCGTCTCCCCGCTCAACGCCGCAACAAGGTTCACTCCCGCCGTGCAGCGAAAATCGCCCAAGCAGTCTGTTGCAGGTTCAGAATAGCAGAACGACTTACTCCCACAAAGCCTTCCACTCTTTCCATTCTAGCAGAGCAAACGCTGGAGAGGAGGAAGCTGCCAATCAGGGCAAGCAGAAAGCTTCTTTGGAGGGGCTGGTCCCATTTATTTTAATTTTACGTGGGACAGATTACAGTAAGATTCTAGAATGGTACACTGTGCAGGCATTGGAGGGACAGCCGATTCTCTGGATCGGGAGGGCAGCAACCCATCCACCGAATTCGTCTCGCAGATGCAGTGAGTGAATGTGCTTCTCCGAGGCTGAATTTTTGTTGGAGCGATTGAAACGTGAAACTAAGAACAGCGTCGGCGTTTTTTTCGCACCCAGGCTCGACAACCCGTGCTCCCTGGCCGACGATCCGGACAAGGCGAGCATGATGTGAGTTTTGTCATTCGTGGCTGTTAACGTTCAATCTGGGCCCGGTGTACCCCGAAATGTCTGGTCTCGTCTTTTGTTAATTACAGCATTCTTTGCGGAGGAATAAACTTGTGGGGAAATGTTTTCTTGATCACAGTGCTGTTGTTTGAACTTGAGCTTTCGGGTCCACATGCGCATGTTTGTTGTGAGCGTATGTCTGTAGAGGCTCGGTTCTTTTGCTGGGAAGAAAGGAGCTACATGTTCTTTCTTGCCTGCTCCATTTGCAGGGAACCTACAGTTTGGCCACCACAGCAGGCACCCTCTGCCTTAGAGCTCCAAAACGTAAGGGTCCTTGTTTGTTTTTAAACAACTTCTGACCACCTTCTTAGCGGAGATTCTGTCATTCTGTCTTGTTTCCGACAATAAAAGTTTGGATGGTTTGAACCGTCCGCACATTAACATGATGACAGCACAGAGAAGCTGTTTATTTTCTGTTTCTCTCTTTCATGGCATGCAGCAACTCACGTCCAAGGAGCAGGAGGTTTCTCGGCTGCAACGGATGATAGTGAGTGTCGTGTCGATTGTGCAGCCTTGTTTGAAGCCGACAAAGGAGCCTGGCATGTTCGCTAGGCACCTTGCTGCATTGTGCACCCTAAGGTCACCCTTGCTGTTGATTTTGTCCTGGTTCTGTCTCTTCCTATTCTCCGTTGCGGCTCAACTCGGCGAAGAGCAAATGCTACGGCCCCCTCTGGCCAATCAAGGCGAAGCGAAGCATGCGACAACTCTGCAGGAGGAGTGCACACCAATGATAGATTGTCATGTGTCTCGTATTGGCACTTCGATTCGCTCGCTGGAGCTGTAGCTTTAGCCGATTGCCAAGCTTCGGTGAAACGGAATATATCTGGTACCTGTTGTCATCTTTTTTATTTGCATGGTTTTCTCATTCTTGAGAAAAATTGCTGCTGAAGAGCAAGCAGAAAGATGTCAGCAATACAAGAGCCAAAAAATGGCCACTTTGGGACTCTGAAACATTGCACAGTGAATCCAATGTCATCCCAACAAAACTGTTTTCTTTTTTTCTTTTTTTTAGGGGGGGGGGGGGGGTACTTTGTGGCTTTAGCTGGAGTCTACTAAACTTGTTTCCAGGGAGGTTTGCTATAGATGAGACGTTTGGCCAATGCAGTGCCACTGCTAGCCAGAGATCTTTAATTGTGCACCACACAGTGGTGATATACGATCGCACGCCGGTACGATGCTCATCCAGATTCAAACAGGCAGGGGTGAGGATTGAAATCAGGATCCCTGAGGTCTGCTGCTACACAGGATACTTCAAACCAGTGGTGCCGGAACAGAAAAGGGGTTTGGTGATGCCCCTCCCCCTTCCTTCCCAAACATTACAAAATTTTAATGGGAAGAATACAGGGAAGGCGAAGGGAGACTTTGCTCCCCCCCCGCACCACCGTTGCCCCCCCTTCCCCCTCTCCGAAATAGTTCCGACACCTCTGGTTCAAATTACTGCTTTGTAGTACATGTCTTGGCCTCGGAGCAGCCCGTGCCGTTCACTAACGACAGTTCTCTCGTGTCTGTCGCAGCTGGCCATGTCGGATCTGTTTAGCACCCATCCTCCTACCAGACTGCCGATAGACAAGGTGTCCGTTCTATCGTGAGCATCTTTCATTTTAACCCTTTGGCGGTTGAGTTTTTATTTTCCCAAAAAATGCTTCTCAGTGGTTTGGGCTTTGTTTCCAAAGGAATAGTATAAAGAAAGCGTCAGTGCACAAGTTTTTTTTAAGTACCTAAAAACAGTGCGCACAGTGCTTGCAAGCTGTTCAGGTGTAGAAGCAATCAAAAGAAAATATTGAAGGCGGAAAGGTATCACCTTTTTTTTGTTCACTTTCATTTCGGCATGTCCGCTTTCGCAACATTCCGGCGTTCTCGGATTCTGAACCGAGGGTACTTTCAAAGCTTCTCCATCAAATGGTAAGCTCTCATTATTCAAATTTAATTTCCAAAAGCGGTAAAGGTCTGACTCGGAAGAGGCGGCATTCAAACTGCCACTAGCGCCAGAGCAGCTGACATGCGAAGCGACCATTTCGCGCGCGTCATGTGCGTCTAATTTTAAAACTATAAATAGCCCTAGAAAAGCGAAACACCGTGCTAAGACAGCATATATAGTTTGCCGAAGACAAAAGCGAATAGTAACCCCTTTCACGGTGCGCACGGTTTTGCAGTGAAGGCGGACACTTTCAAATGTGTAATCGCCGCTGTGTCACTGGTTATGGTGCTTGTTTGTACCTGTCTTCAGTGTATATTGTTGGGTTGCAGCCATGTGAGGGAGCGAGAAGAATTTGTCCTGTGCTGCGTAGTGCTGTAACACACAAAGTAAAGCCAGATTGGCAACATTTTGCTGTCACCGGACCCGAGCGATCTGACGCGTAAACTCTAACTTCCAAGCAGAGCTGACCAACTCTGCTTCAGCCACTTCACATCGGAATGCTCTCTTTGTTTACAACTCCTGCGTCCATGCATTTTGGATGGAGGCAAATTCATGGTTCGCTGCGGGGTGCACAGACCGCGACAAATGTGACACAATGTGCCGGCCCATGGAACTATTCTCGCAGGAGTAAGCGCATCTGGATGGCAACTCAATCGTTTCTCTAGATTTTCACGTTTCCCCCTTTATCACGAATCATGAATGATAGGATGATGACTCGGTTCATTGGATACAACTTCTCTTCATCTTTGAGGAACAAAAAATAGAACCCACTTTTGTTTCCCTTTTGACAACATTATGAAACCCACCACCCTATCCATTACCCTTGTGACGAACAAGGTGGCCCCAATTGAAGGTAACTTTGTACAAAAAGCTTGTTCACTCAAAACTTGAGTATGCATCATCTATCTGGGGTCCTAGTCATTTAGACTTAATTAGCAGTCTAGAAGCTGTGCAAAATTGTTCTGCTCCTTTCATCCTCGGTAACTATCATTGCAAGGAATCTTTCAGACTAATCTATCACTGAGTCACCGTTTTTTACACAACCTTTCTATGTTACATCTCGTCTCGATCATCCTTATAAAGTAGGCATACGAATGTGCAATACTAAAATATTCCACCTGTCAATCATTCCCAAAAACCTCCCCTCTGTCCCACTCCCCTCTGTAATGCCATTGACACTGAGGCTGTTGAAATTATTTTATTTATTGAAAGGAGTGGGAATGATTTTTAACCCATCACCGAGGGGTGTGCCTTTTCCAGGTGCGAGGCCAGAGATGTGGTCTTGCTCAGCTTTCATCCGGGTCGCCAGAGCTATATGGTCTTCCATCTTGGATATGTGCTGCACTTCCCGCATTCAGAGTGCCTCGAGACATTGGGCCTCCAAACGGGTAAGAAGGATCAAGAAGGCCACGCTGAGAATTCCAGATTGTACCTGGAGTTACAGAAAATAGAAAGGGGGGAGAGGGTGTTGACGTGCGCTAGGATCGCCTTAAATAGATAACATGCCACTTTTAGCGAGAACGCGACTTCGGCGCTTTTTTGCATTTTACTTTGAGAGGGCACTGGCAGGCATCAAAATTTTTCCACTTGGGTTAGTAACTTAACTGATCACTTTCCACCACTACAGTAGTATTTATAACAGTCCTTCAATTCTGGGAGAAGAATAGGGAAACCCGGCTACGGTTCGTTTGCGCTAACAGTGTCGTGGAGTGCACCAAGCAGTTGTCGGGGAACAGCAATCCTGCTGTCCTTTCACCCTTGCCGCCCTTCCAGGTACCAAAGGACGAACTCCAATGGATGGCACGTCATCCGAGCCGAGTCTGGGGCTGTTTATAGTTTTGAAATTAGGCGCACGTGATGCGCGCAAAATGGTTGCTTCGCATGTCGGCTACTCTGGCGTTAGTGGCAATTCGAATGCCGCCTCTTCCGATTCAGACCTTTACCGCTTTTCAAAATTAAATTTGAATAATGAGAGCTTACCATTTGATGGAGAAGCTCTGTAAAGTACCCTCATGTTCATGCGACGTAAGGTAGTCGAGTGGTATTCCTTAAGCACAACACTATGTTCCGTTTGCCTCTCATTCGCGGCTTGATCATCTTTCGGACTGAATGTTTCCTTGTCTGTTTTGACGCAGCCCCTGGAGCCGTCCGCAAGAACTGGGTGCTGGCTGAAGTGCTAGAGAAAACATACTGCAAGGCATGCGAGGTGAGGCTTGTTACAGTTGAATCTCGATTTAACGAAGTCACCGGGACCTACTAATTATTTCATTAAATCGGGAACTTCGTAAAATTGAAAAAGTCATTTTGCAGGCATAGGCTGCGCGGAGAATCCGAATTCGTCTCCTTAAATCGGGAAATCCGTAAAATCGGGTTTCGTTACATCGAGGTTCAACTCTATCGCATGTAGGACAAAACTTGAAAGGCCCCGGAAAAGAAAAAAAAAAAGCATTTTTTTAAAACAGTTTGGTCGGGACACGTATATCAAGAAATAAATTTTATGCAAAATAAAAAAAAATAAAAAATTTTAGATCAATATTGACTGCGAGAGATTTTTCTGAAATTCTGCGCACAAAGTCCATGACTGCACGGAATGTTCATTCACTCAACAAGATGATCATTCGGTCTTTCCACCTCAATGTGAAGGCGAAGCCGATCCACTTCTCCTCCCCACACCCGAAATGCCGAGAGAGAAAACAAGGGGAAAGGAGGTGACTACAAACTAAATCACGTCTCGCGCCGTCAATATTGCCCTAAAAAAATTTTTTTTTTGGCATAAAATTAATTTTTTTACGCACGTGTCCCAACCAGATTGTTAAAAAAAAAAAATCTTTTTCTTTTTAGGGGTTCTTTAAAGAAGCACTGAACGTAGAAAAAAACTTTTTTTTTTTCCTACCTGGTTAGGCATGTGTCGAAAAAGCACATTTTTTGGCCAATATTTATGCTACAATACGGATTTTTCGATTTTACGGGCGAAACGGAAACTGTACGTTTGTGGCATGATGATAGCATTTGTACCCAACTAGTGTACACTCTGAGGCTTAGCGAACTCGTAGCTCACACAAGTTGGGTACAAATGCTATCATCATCATCTCACAGGGGTACAGTTTCGGTTTCACACGCAAATTGGAAAATTAGCATTTGCCTGTCTTAATTACAGGCAAATTCTAAGGACAGGCAGGATTTGCCTGTCCTAAAAAAAAAAGAAAGATTTTTTCGTAGGTTCAATGTTGGCCGTTTTAGCGATATTGACCCTAGTGAGACTCGAGAATACTTGATGAAAAACCACTAAGCAAGAAACGTCTTTATTGCGGTATAATTCCAAGGATAAAAGCAGACCCTTTCTTTAAATCTCTCCTTCGCAAAACTTGATCACGGGGGCTGCGGGGACAATGTGCCAACAATGCGATCCCTGGGAGTGCGTCATCAAGCTTTGCAATCCCCGCTGTGACAATATTTAAATGCTGCTCGTACAGTGGATCCAAAGACTGCGTAGGCATTCGATTTTGGCTCGTGACAATCATTGCCTCGACATGCATTCGGGTAGTGGCTCCTGCCTAATCGCTGGGATGACAAGAATAGCTGAACCTTAATAATGTGTGCAACTCGGTGCACGCCCTGTGCTCTGCTAACCCCGATGTATGGCTATGTAACAAACATTAGCAGTGTATAATCGGCTTCAGATCATGTGGCCGTTTTTTTCTGGCTGCGAGTTAGGGGGTAAACGGTGCTAGTTTTTCTCCGATTTTTTTCTGCGACCGTCAATGGGTAGAGGTAAACAAGAAATGTGTTTTATAGGTTTTGATGTCAAGGAATATTTCTAAGCTGTATTTATTGAAAGTAGAAAAATTGTTGCATCGCCCCTTAGCATCAGTGTTATTAAGGTGGATATCAGGTGATCGGGTTTGTGTCATGCACTTGTCACTGGGTAAATTCAACATTGGCAAACTGGAAGAAATGCGATACAGCATGCCAGCCATGAATGCATTCCTACAAGGGTTGAGAGTTTGTTGGTTCGACTCATGCCAAGGGACAAATTGATTTTCGTTAAGAAACCTGGCCATGTCTTCAGGTTGCTGGTTTTGTGGTTTTGTGACGTCCTAGACCTAGAAACCAGCCCTAAAACACAATCTGCATTAATATGGCGCTAACGGTCGGGAGTGCGATTGCAACTGGCACTTTGCAACTGCCACTAAAGACCGAACGTTGTACAGCAATCGCAGAAGCAGTACCGGATACGTGCTGGCACATGGTTCTACAGCGTCAGATGCAAGCTTTGGGACAAGGAAGCTGCCAAGAGGAGGGACTGTCAACCACAGCCTTCGCTGCGCGATCTCATTGACGGTGCGTCGCCGCCCTCCGAAGATTCTTGGACAGCGGGAAGTTCCAGCGCATCCAGTAAGCCGCTGACACCTTAGGGTGCACCCCCATCGCCGTTTCCCATGGCCCAAAGACACCTCATGAGGTCTGCCAACGCTGCCGACAGACCCTTTCTGCGAGCGCTGCTTGAGGAATACCTCCTCAGCCCAGTGACAGTGTGGCCAGATGTGATACTCTTTTCTTGTAACGCCTGTTTTCTCCCGGCGGTGCTCGTGTGTGCCTGCAGTTAACACAGCCACGAGAGTTTGTGACGATGGGCTCTTTGTAAATTATGTTTATTGAAGAGAGAGTGCTGCTATAGATCCCTTAAACTTAAGGAACACTAAAGAGGATTTTGAGGTCATGCTTTTATGCGCCAATGGCTCAATCAATTCTATACGCCCTAAGCTTCCTAAGAAACTGGAATTATGGTTATGAGTGGCCTATTTTCCTGTAAAAATCTAATCGTATACCTGTGCCACACCCTTTTTTCTGAGAATATTCTGAATGTGAGATAATCTTAAAGGAAATGTTGTATAAATGCTTAATCACATTTTCATTAAAAATATATACAATAGGTAGGCTGTTTATGACCACTGTTTTGGAGTTTGAAGTCGCTTAGAGTGTAGAGTGAGCGTAGAAAAGTGCGGTCAGTTTTGTGTTGGCAATTTTTTTATCAGTCTGCAGTGTTTTTTGACTGGTCAATCAAAATAACACGTGTAGGGAGTTTTGCTTGCAGCAATATAATGGCAGTGTTCTCCTAAGGTTTTCTACAACTCTTGCAGAAACTAGGGTGGAACAGCCCAACTTTGTAGTTACAGTTGCAATAATTTTTGATGCTGCTCAGAGTGCAGAAAAACTGAGTGTGTAATAAATGGGATGCAAGCATGTACACTAATGATCAACTTAGTAGAGTTATGATATTTATATGGTGGCACCTGAGATAATGGGGAAAATGCGAGTGCCAGTCAAGACAGTCTGAGAAATGTCCGTCACTATACACTCCGTGCGACGCGACCGGCGCGCCGCTGCGCGGCCGTTACCGGAGGTAGGCAGTGAGAGCCCCAGCGAAACGAAACCACGCCGCGTACATTGGTACGTATTGAAGTCGGAGCGGTGCGGTTGCGCTGGGTTTACAGCATGAACTGCTGCGTCGTTAAGTGCTCCAATAGTTATGCGCCGTATATCGTGGGGACGAAGTTTCACAGTTTTTCACCTCGCCGATGTTTTGTGGGACAGCGACAACGATGGGCCCGTGCCGTACGACGCGAGAAATTTGGTCTCCCGATCATGTCTGCCCCTGTGTCGGCACGGCTGACATATTCTACAGTGCCGCTTTGCGCTCTGCGTTTGTTTTTGTACCAGTAACGCCCACATATCTCAGCTCGAAATGATATGCCATCCCACACTCGCGGATATGCAGAACGAATTTCGTTGAAGGAATGTCCTCCAAAGAACTTTCGTCCCAATTGCACGTGTCGATGATATTTCCGGACCAGTATGGCACGCAGTGTGTACTTCATGAAGAAAGATTCGGACGGTACAAAAAGTGACAAATATAATACTAAGGAAAACTACAATGTAACTTGGAATCACTGGACAATCGATGTTTGAGTATGGAAGTTTATGTGGTGTGCTTTCTTCTTTAATCAGTCTCCGCTTGGATGTAGAAACGCTGACAACCTGAGTCTCCTAGACAACAATTTTTTTTTCTCGGCTTTAGAGCCACCTATCGCAAAGTTGTTCAAACTGGAAGTACCCGTCCACTGGTGCCTTCCTACCTGTAAAGTGTGCACTTCCCGGCCATGATGAGTGGTATTCTCTTGACAACTTTGACGGTCAAAACCGGTTCCCATTAAGTTACGCCGCCCAAAACTATTTCCACCTGGTTAAACTATGCCACCCTTTTTAGGTATAATAAGTGTTCTGTCAAGTTACGGTTGTCCAAGTACCTGTGTGCCGAAAATCAGCACTTCGCACAGCCAGATTGCTACACAACAGCTGACCGCAAAAGCCTTTGACGGCCAAACCGTGTGTTGGCCGGCAACTTGGTTTTCTCGGCTTTGAAGCCACCTTTCGTAAAGTTGTTTCAATTGAAAGTATAGTGCACTAGTCCCTTTCTACCTGTAAAGTCTCCATCTCCCTCGACGAGTGGTATTCTCTTGACAGCCCTTTCACGGTCAAAACCGTTTCCCATTCACTTGCGCCGCCCAAACTAAATTTCCACCTGGTTCCCCAATGCCACCTATTTTTGGTGTTATAACTGTTGTGTCAAGTAACGGTCATGTCCAAGAACCTGTGTGTCCAAATCTGCACTTCGCACAGCCCGGTTATAACACAACATTTTGGGTCCAATATTGGATATTCCTGACAGCTTTATTCCTTTGAACCATATCTTTCACAGCTGCTGTCTTAATAAAACTTTGCCCACTTAGTGCGCAAACTTAGTGAACATCTCACTCGCCTCTAAATATCATCGTCCCAGCAGTCCTACCTTTACAGCGACGAGCGGAACAAATTTCCCACTGAGAGCAATTATGGTGGCGGCCGTCTTGCTTTTCGAAAAATCGCTCAAACCCCTTTTTCGACCGCAACTAAAGAAATTACCCCTAATAACGACTCAAACTCAATATATAAGAAGCGAAGAACCGCTAAATGCCCTTCTTAGGTCTGCCGCAGCACTCATGCAACGTTACCCTCAACTTATCGGCTCAAAATGCAAAAGTTCCGTCCGTGCGCGCTTCCGCCGCCACAGCTTCGCACGCGAAAAGGCGCCGCAGGCTGCTGAGCGCGCCTCACTGTCGGACACCAGCTCCTCCGCTAGCGGCGCTACGCGCGTTTTTCAAAGCGCCCCCTATAGTTCCCGCACGGAGCGTATAATGGCAGAAGAGTGGTTCCACTTCTTATTTTGTTCAGTTTACTACAGATCACAATGTTTGAGTTTTGGAGTGTATTCAAGTCGGTATTCTAGCTCAAGTGGGCCATCTTGGCTTGACATGTTCAATATCTGACTCTTGACTGAAGGTCAGTTTCATTTGTTTAAGGGGGGATATGGCCTCAGAATTTAATGTTTTTAGAACTTAACTGACTAACAAACCTTTCTGCCACACTTGATTTACTTTTCTTAATTTTCTTATTTATTTCCGACATGTCGGCAGCCCTCCAAGTCAGCAGGGAGCAAGTTTTTTGCGTTTTTTATTTAGCACTGCTTCATACTCGTTTAATATAGCCAGAACATCTCACCCTCATTGGACATGCCATTTACTCTAAATTTAGCCCATAGTCTTTTCTCTGTAGTCCATTGCAACGCAAGAGGGTAGGGTGAGGGCTCAATTCATATTGAAAGTTTGAATCAATTTGAGATAATGGTTCAAAAGTTGACCATCCCAGGCCATGTCCCCCCTTAACTGACTTACAAACCTCTCTGCTATACTTGATTTACTTTCCTTTTTTTTTTAATTTGCTATGTAGTAGTCAAATGGTTGCCTCAAATCAGTCAGGTTTCCGGAAAAATGCACAGGTCAGAGCTACTGCAGTATTCCCATTATTTTGCCACCTCTCAGATTCCCTGTGCCTAAGACTGCAAGGAACATTAATTTTAGATTATATTGTACAAATTTTTTTTTCTCACTGCAGATTTTAATCTCTAAGCATGGCTCCATACCCTTGATGTACTTTCATTTCTTATCTTTCAATCTCAGGCAGTGCTTAACCAAGCATACTGCTCGTGCTTACGCACTAACATTGCTACCTCATACGGTTCCTTTACATGTTTACTGAACTTGTCAATGCATAATAGCGCTTCACGACAGAGACGATGAGTAGGAACGAGACAACACAATGCGCTATTATGTTCTGCATTGACAAGTTCGTTCCTACTCTTCGTCCCTGTCGTGAAGAGAATCCGCATTGCTAATGCAGACAATACGTACAAGCAAACAACTTTCGTTTCAAATGTGTTTTTTAAACTGCTTAATCAACTGTAAATAAAGATACTTTTTGGAAATACATTGTTTATATTGTTTGAATCTGGTCGCACTTGTCGCTACTTGTGAAATGGCCAACCAACCAGAAGCAGTCACTGGATCCAGCCTTGGTTTGCCTCTAAAAGGCTCTCTGATTCCTCTCCTTATTCCAGCTCTATCTCGGGTATCTTATGCATGCATGCATTTTTATTTGTAGCATGTCACTAGCAAATTAGGTAGGCTGATGTGAAATATGGTTACACTTCCCGTACCAGAATGCTAACTGAAAAAAATCAATATAAAATTTACGTCTTTTAGAAAGTCTAAAGTTAGCTTCTAACGTCATGCATTGCAGCAGACCGCTGGTGTTGGGAGCAGGCAGTAGAATCGCGCAATTGCAATGTAAATTAAATGAACGAAGTAAGACAAGAGAAGGTAAGTTTTTGTGTTTAATTAAGCGATCATGCTCGTTTAGGAACTGTTTTCTGGAAAGAAGATATGCCCTTGGAACAGGCTGCAGTTTAGCTGCGGGAAGCGAAAAATACGCGCCCTTATCTGGAAAATCTTTGCCCCATATCAGTGCTGATAAGGCCAAAACATTTTTCGCTCAAATTCACCTTCTTTCCTCCAGGTGTGGGACGCTCTACTGACGTCATGCGTTACAGCGGTCGCCTGGCGTTGGAAGCTGTCTCTACATTCCCACTACACTGTCAATTAATTAAATGACCGAATAAATGCGATAATGACTAAGAGGATGTGAATTTGAATGTTTAATCAGTTAAGCAATTAAAGAAAAATGAACGCGCTCGTTTGCCAACTTTCCCCTCTTTGGGAAAAGACTTCTGTGTTGTGTAACGAAAAAGAATTGTTCAGAAGGCTAATTAAGGAGACTTTATGCATTCGCGAGCGGGGGAATTGTGTCAGCCAGCCGTCCTTGGTGATCACTGATCGAATGAAAGAGTTTTTGCTTGTTTGACGGGAGCTTTGCAAACCTTGAAAAAGGCGGGGGGGGGGACCGGGAAGCGTTTGCTTCGAGTAAGAAATTTGGGGATTAGGCTTTAGCGGTTTGGAGGTCACC